AGTGTTGAAGGTCCAAACTTCATCTTGTCTGATCCCTAGGCTCAGTATAAGCCTGGCTAAGTGTTGAAGGACCATCTTGGCACTGAGACCATGTTCCAAGACAAAAAGGCACTTTTTTGTTTCATTTCTTTTTGTTGTTGTTTTTTAGCTCCTGAAATTCAAGGAAATCTGTGAAAACACTAAGTGAGCACAAGTTAAGGCACAGAGACTTAGGTGACCATACACAAGGAGGTATAGTCCTTGCAAAAATAGTTTGGGAAAGTTAGCAAACCAATGAACTGTTACAGCTTTCAACAATAAAAAAAAAAAAAAAAGGTAAACTCTGGGGAAAGGGAAGAATCTGACTTTCAGGGTCACCATACTGTAATATTCAAATGCCCAATATTCTAAAACAAATAAACAAACAAACAAAAAACACAAGGCATACAAGGAAACAAGAAAGAGTATGATGATTCATAGGAACAAAATAAATTAACAGAAACCATTCTTGGGGAAGTCCAGACATCAGACTTACTAGTTAAAAACTTTAAAACAGCCATCTTATCAACAAATGGCACTAGGAATGCTGGATATCCACATGTAAAAAAAATGAAATTAAACCCTTACCCTGTATCATATAAAAAAACTTAACTCAAAGCAGATTAAAGACCTAAAACCATAAAGTTCCTAGAAGAAAACAGGGAAAAAACTCCATGATATTGAAACTTAGCAATGATTTGTTGGATATGACACCAAACCACAAACAACAAAAGCAAAAATAGACATATAGGACTATATCAAACTACATAATCAGAGTGAAATGGCAACCTATGGAATGGGAGAAAATATTTGCAAATCATACCTGATAAGGAGTTAACATCCAGAATAAATAAAGAACACCATCAACTCAACAACAAAAAATAAATAAACCAATTAAAAATAAGCAAAGGACTAGAATAAACATCTCTCCACAGAAGATATACAAATGGCCAATAAACACATGAAAAGATGTTCAACATCATCAGTCATTAGGGAAATGAAAATCAAAACCACAATGAGATAGCATCTCATACTCATTAGGATGGCTTTATCTAAAAAAAAAAAAAAAAAAAAAACAAACAAACAGAAAGTAAGAGTAACAAAGTGTTGACAAGAATGTGGAAAAACGAAGGGGGGGAATTAAAAAAAAAAAAGAATGTGGAAAAACGAAAGAGTCCTTGCATACTGCTGGTGGGAATGTAAAACAGTGCAGTTGCTATGGAAAAGAGTATGGCAGTTCCTCAAAAAAAATCCATATAGTTAGCATATGACCCAGCAATTCCTTTCTGGGTACATACTCAAAGGAGTTGAAAGCAAGAACTTAAAAAATATCTGTATCCAATGTTCACAGCAGCATTACTCACAACAGCCAAAAGGTAGAAGTAACCCAAGTGTCCACTGATGAATAAACAAAATGTGGTAAATACATTCAATGGAATATTATTTAGCCATAGAAAGGACTGAAATTCTAACACATGCTACAACATGGATGAACCTTGAAGACATTTAAGTGAAATAAACCAGATACAAAAGGACAAATACTTACTATGATATCTAAAATGGTCAAATTCAGAGACAGAAAGTAGAATTATGGTTAAAAGGACTGGAAGGAGAAGGAACTGGGGAGTTACTGTTTAATGGGTATGGAGTTTCAGTTTGGGAAGATGAAACTGGTCTGGAGATGGATGGTGGTGATGGTTGTAAACCAGCGTGACCGTACTTAATGGCACTGAAGTGTACACTTAAAAACAACAGGAATCGGGAGCACTTGGGTGGCTGAGCTGGTTGGGTGTCTGACTTTGGCTCAGGTCACGATCTCACAGTTGGTGAGTTTGAGCCCCACATCAGGCTTACTGCTCTCAGCCTGTCAGCGCAGAGCCCACTTCAGATCCTGTTCCCCTCTCTCAGCCCCTCCTCTGCTTGTGTTCCCTCAAAAATAAATCTTAAAAAAAAAAAAGTGGGAATTGTAAATTTTGTTATGCATACTTTACCACAATTAAAAAGACACAGATACTAAGATACCACTTCACACCTACTAGGATGGCTATTTAAAAAAACAACCAAAAAACCAGAAAATAAGTGTTGGTGAGGATGTGGAGAAATTGGAACCATTATACATTGCAGGTGGGAATGCAAAATGGCACAGCACCAGGGAAAAGTTTAGCAGTTCGTCAAAAAGCTAAACGTAGAATTACTATATGATCCAGCACTTCCACTCCTTGGTACGTACACAAAAGAACTGGAAAGAGATTCAAATACTTATACATGAATATTCATATCAGCCCTACTTCAAATAGACAAAAAGTGAAAACAACTCAAATGTCCATCAGTGGATGAAGGGATAAACAAAATATAATCCATAAAATGAAAAATTATTCAGATCTAAAAAGGAATGAAATACTGATATATGTCACAACTGTGAATAACCTTGGAAACATTTAACTGAAAGAAGCCAGGCACAACAGATCATATATTGTATGAATGCATTTATATGAAATATCTAGAACAAGCAAATTCATAGAGACAGAGTAAATAAAAACTGGGGGTGGAGGGGTGGGGAAGGAGAAGAATGTAGGGTTTTTGCTTAATGGTTAAAGAATCTGGGTGATGACAATGTTTATAGCAGCACTATCAACAACAGCCAAAGTATGGAAACAGCCCAAACGTCCATTGATGGATGAATGGATAAAGAAGATGTGGTATATATACACAGTGGAGTATTACTCAGCAATCAAAAAGAATGAAATCTTGTCATTTGCAACTATGTGGATGGAACTAGAGGGTATTATGCTAAGTGAAATTAGCCAGTCAGAGAAAGACAAATATCATATGACTTCACTCATATGAGGAATTTAAGATACAAAACAGATGAACATAAAGGAAGGGAAGCAAAAATAATATAAAAACAGGGAGGGGGACAAAACAGAAGAGACTCTTAAATATAGAGAACAAACAGAGGGTTACTAGAGGGGTTGTGGGAGGGGGGGATGGGCTAAACGGGTAAGGGGCATTAAGGAATCTAGTCCTGAAATCATTGTTGCACTAGATGCTAACTCGAATGTAAATTAAGCAATAAATAAATTAAAAAAAAAAAAAAAGAATCTGGGTGATGAAAAACCGGAAACATAGTGGTGACGGTTATACACTGTGAAGACAATTTATGCCATTGACCTGTAACTTAAAATGGTTAAAATGGCAAATTTTATGCTATATATATTTTACCACAACTTTGAAAAAACTGATAATAAAATACCAAAACCACTTCACTGTACACTTTCTTTTTAAGTGTTTATTGTCTGGGTTTTTTTGTTTTTTGTTTTGTAATCTCTACACCCAACAAGGGGCTCAAACTCATGACCTCAAGAGTTGAGAGTCACAGCCGCAATCTCTATACCCAAGAAGGGGCTTGAACTCATGACCTCGAGAGTCGCACCCTCTTCCCACTGAGCCAGCCAGATGCCCCAGAACTGTACAATGTAAATGTATCAATTCTATGTGAATATCTCAATAAAGCTGTTTTAATAAAGTGTAACTACTGTTGAAAACATCATTAAAATGGCAAATTTGTTATACATATTTACCACAATAAAGGTTAACTCCCCCCAAACAAGGCAAGTACACCAGAGCACAGGCACCTTATTCAAAGCCTAGACAAGAAACTGCATGGCTTATTGATCACCTAAGTGTGCTAGCGTCAAATGTTCAGCTTGGGGCACACAGCTGCTGAGTCTACAGGGTGGAGAGCTTTAAATAAAAATGACTGATCTAGATGGAACTGGTCACTGAAAGCTATTTTATTAGGTTGCATGCTTAAGAGAGGAATTAAATGGAGATGTACAGTCAAGCAGGCTAAAGAAAATACATGAAAGTAAAACAATCAGCACTACAGCAATCCAGTACCTTCTATACTTCTCATGTTGGTGTACTGACTACTGCTGATCTGTGGATATTTATGTAACTTTCACACGACTGAAAGCCTATGTGGGCCATTCTTGTGGGTTTGTTTGTTTCTTTGTTTTCATTTTTAACACCAATTGAACGCAGCCTGGGCATTATTACAATGAACACAATCTTGCTATCGACTTCAATCAACATTTTGGGGCCCATGCAACCCAAACCGGGGAGAAAAAAATTAGACAAATATTAGTCGGTTTCTTTTTAATCCTTTTCTCAAATGGATTAGTGGTAATTCACTTAAAGAATTTTGAGTTTCACACAACAAACACGCTGGGTTTTACTCACCGATCTCCTCTGATTCCTGCCCAGAGACTCTAAGCTTGCATTCCTTTGGATAGTGTTTTTGGATTATCTCCCACAGTTCCATGTTGACAAGAGAATTTCTTCGGGTGTGATACCGGGTCCACGAAGAGACCCGGCGGCGACAGAAAGGACAGCATAAACTTGCCTTTTCGACAGTCGATTGGAAGCAGGGATTACAGAGCGTGTGGTTACAAGGCAGTGTTATGGGCTCAATTAGGATTTCCACACAGATGCGGCACTGACATTCCGACAAGGAAGGGATGGCGTTTTGAGTCACAGCCATTTTAATATGCTAACAAGGCATATTCAGCATCAGTACCTGAAAGAGAAAAGAGTCTCATTTCCGACCCAACTACGGAGAAAGAGAATTAACAGTTTTGTGTTTAAATATTTTGCCCAGCTACGTATCAGAATTCAGAGACTGGGAACATCACACAGCGTCCCGAAATAAAAAGGCACCCTGTGATCCAGGTAAACAGTACTACCCTGGAAGGCGGCGTATTTGTCCATGTTTCAGACAAACGTCGGGTAAGGAAAGGAACGTTTTCGTCGGGAAACCTAGACATTAACCCAACCTTTGTGAGGGCTGACTGTGGGCTCCAGCTCTCCCGCGCGGCGGGAGGTACGCGCCCAATTGCCCTCCTCCCTCTTACCAGCTGAGGACGCTCCCTTAGCTCAGCACAGCCAAGCCCGAGACCGACCAGGCGCGAAGGTACGGGGCCTCAACTCCGAGGAACGCCGTTTCCGCCCAGACGCCGGGCTGCGCGGGAGTAGGACTTCCGTTTTACCGTTGCTGTGGGGGCAACACGCGAGACCCCACGTTCCAGCTTTCGTGCACCGGGAGCGGTTTCCCAGCGCTCTGAACCCACACTCCCCTTTGCTCGGTCAGCCAAAAAGCCTAATCTTTGCAGTCGTGCTGTAGCAACCCGACGAGGGCTGGTGACGTCACAACTGCTCACCCAAACGGGCCCTCCCACCCAGAGAACAGCCCTAGAGCGGACACATCTGACGTTCGGCTGGGTGGGACTTCCGGGTCCTGTGCGCGCTTCCCGCCCAGTCCCGCTCCCTTCGGCCCCGCAGAGGGTCCGCCCCTTGCGTTGCAGTCCCTTTCGCTACAGCTGGAGCGAAGACCTACCATCCCCTAGAGCTATGTGCGCCCGGAGGCTGCGGAAGCCGGGAGGGTCGCGAGGTTGGTCCCTGGCAGAAAAAGGGAAACCTCAAGACAAATGAAAGACCCAACAGTAATTTTAAAAATTCTTCCCTCTTCTTTTTAAAATTTTCTCAGACTACTTGTCTGTTTCTACCTTGTACCAGGCCTCTTAGGTCGCTTTCTAGAGTTCTGAGGAAGGCATCTCGGAGGTTGATCTCCTAGAAAGATTGTGGTCAGAGAATCCGCAGATTTGCTCCAATTTAACACGCACTGACACTTCCTTCTCTAACCCATCCCTTCTTCAGTCTGAGGCCCAGAGAGGTTGTTTTAAGTTTGCCTTCCCTTCTAAGTATTGTCCAAAACCGACTTCTGTGCTCTGGGGCCGAATTATGTCTGTGTATGATTACTTTACCTAGGAAAGGAGGCAGCAGGCTAATGCCTCCAGGACTGCAAGCCTGCCCAGGGTAAGAGGCTGAGAGGGTTCGACAAGAAAATACAGAATCTAAGCAGTAGCTAAAGGAATCTGATCCGTGCTGCCCGCCACGTTCCACAGGTGTTCAAGGTCGTCTCATAACTCGTGCTGCCATCGGCCATCCAAGGCTCCTTACTAAGTGTCAACACATCGATATCCACTTCTTGGAACAAAAGATTCTACAGAAAAACAAGTGAAGGGGGGAGGGGTCTTCAAGAATGAGGAAGAGAATAATGCGTTCCGTTTAAAGTCAAGTCTTGCATTAGTGTGTCCATCTTCACTTCCATCCACTTTGACATTTCTATAGCGGTTTCATAAGGGCTTGGAAAACACTGCAGGGCGGCCTCGATCCTGAGGCTTAGCTGTCATGTGCATCATTTATGATATATTCCCGTATTATTAAATTTCAATCTAGAACAATCAAAATTACAAAGCAGGTAAAAAATAATATTTTATGCATTTTAAAATAAGTTTTTCCATGTTGGTATTAAGTTCTTGTGCTTATTGTATTGAATCCTACTGTATTGAATTCTATGCAAAAAGTAAATTTTGGCTAGGAAAATGAAGGGGATTAAATAGACTGATACCTGTTATCTAAGAACCAAGTCTAGAGACAGAAAATATGATGGTTGCCAAGGGCTGGGAGAGTTCTTGTTTAATGGGTACAGAGTTTGTTTTCAGATGGATGGTGGTGATGGTCACACAAAATTATGAATGTGTATGATACACTGAACTGTACACTTAAAAACGGTTCAGATGGTAAATTCTATGTGTTTTACCACAATAAGAAAAATTTTGAAAACCAACCAAAACAAGGCCTGAGTTTTTTGAGGAAATGTTACATAGATGTGGAGAAAGAGAAAAAAAAAATCACTGTGCATGAATATAGTCTTTAAGGTCTTTTGGGTTTGCTGAGGTCATTCAGGTGGTGACATGGTTTCTGGATGGAGCCAAAGCAAGGAGGTTGTAGGTCCTTGGTAGAGAGCTTTGGGAGCTTTTGTTTTGTTTTAATGAGAATTCAGAAACTTTTGTTTGTCATCCAGTTGTCCATGGTATCAACACCTTAGCCTGCAATTCCAGGCTCTCTGATAGGTCCTGTGGAATCTCCCATTATTCTCTTAAACATTAAACCATGATCTATATTCCCTGTCATCCAAACCTTGTGCTTTCAGGCCATTGTTTGAAATCATAATTCATCCTAATGAGTTACTTTGTTGCTTTGCCTACTTGAAGGATCACTTCAATGTACTTCCTCCAGGAAATACCCATAGTATTTCTCAATCACATAGTGATAACCCTCCCAAACTCACCCAATCATATATTGCCTAGTAATAGTGGTTTTTATTGTAGTCTTATTATTTAACTCTTGCACTTTGATTTTTTTGGTTATTTTTATTTTTATTTTTTTAAAAATTTTTTAACGTTTATTTATTTTTGAGACAGAGAGAGACAGAGCATGAACGGGGGAGGGGCAGAGAGAGAGAGGGAGACACAGAATCGGAAACAGGCTCCAGGCTCTGAGCCATCAGCCCAGAGCCCGACACGGGGCTCGAACCCACGGACCGCGAGATCGTGACCTGAGCTGAAGTCGGACGCTTAACTGACTGAGCCACCCAGGTGCCCCTTTTTGGTTATTTTTAGACAGCGAGGAGGGGAGCGAGCAGAGAGAGAGAGAGGGAGGGAAAATCTCAAGCATCCTCCATGATCGATCCCACAACTCCAGGATCATGACCTGAGCCAAAATCAAAAGTCAGATGCCCAACCAACTGGACTGAGCCACCCAGGCACCCCTGCATTTTGATTTCTATGTTCAGGTACTTATGTCAGGTATAATGGATATATTTTATGTGCTTCTTCAGATTTCCTTGTTCTTGTCTACTTTCTGGGCCCACAGTCACAGTCCCTTGCTCTGTCTGGAGCTGAGCAGTTACATTTCTAGAGTCTCTGGCTCTTCCTATCACTTCTGGACTCTAGGGAAACACTGCACTGAACAATGCAGGCACTGGCTTCCAAATGCCTGCTGGGAGGGCTTAGATGGTGCATCCTGGAAGTATGGGCAGCGGCGGGGGTGGGGGAGGTCATTCCCCATGGAACAAACTTTGACCAACTGAAAACAATAGACTAAGTGAGCATGACAGAGAAATTCCCTTTCCATCTTTCTTCCAAGGCATGGTTTCTCCAAACAATGTGTCTGGAGAAGGACAAGACTGAGGGCATTTTTTAAAAGATGTTAAGTAATCTCTACACCCAACGTGGGGCTCAAACTTACAACCTTGAGATCAAGAGTCTTATGCTCTACCAACTAAGCCAGCCAGGCACCCCAACACTGAGTGCATTTATCTACCAAGGAAGCTTCTGTGTCTCATGGCCCATTTTCAAGGAGGGGTCAGCAAGGTAACATCATTTTGTATTATTTCGAATCCTCTGCCTAATTTGTATCTCCCAGGGTGCCTGGGTGGCTCAGTCTGTTAGGTGTCTGACTTTAGCTTAGGTCATAATCTCACAGTTCATGGGTTCGAGCCCCGTGTCAGGCTCTGTGCTGACAGCTCAGATTCAGCTCAGCCTGTTTCAGATTCTGTATCTCCCTCTCTCTGACCTTCCCCTGTTCATGCTCTGTCTCTCCCTGCTTCAAAAATAAATAAAACGTTAAAAATTTTTTTTTAAATAAATAAGTGTAAAAAAAATTAAACACTAGAAAAAAAAGTTTGAATTTGTACCTTCCAAATAAAGCATAAGCACTCAACCTTTACCTGGAAGACAGACTCCACATTTTTAAATGTTTCTCTTAATTCACAGCACCTAGCACATGGCATTTGATGTTCAATAAATATTTTAATATATAGTCAATGTATTAGAGTTCCCTTTCTAGTGTAAAATAACTGTGGTTCTGTACCAGAGAGAAAATGTACAACATATAATATATATTAGGTGTTTGTATTGGTTTGTCTTTTAATATACTGTGCATTCATATGGTTCAAAATTCAAAATGTACAAAACAGTACATTCTTTAACAGTGAAAAGAATTCCTCCTACCTTTGACCCCTAGCCTCTTTGTTTTTTTCCCTGAGACAGCCAAAGTTACCACTTTCTATCTCTCCAGAAGAAGCTTATGAAGTTTATGGGTATATTAGCTTGTATATGTGTGTGTGTAGATATTAATTTTTGCCCTTTTTTCCCTCCACTTAACAATATATAGGAAATCTTTTAAAACAACACATCTTAGTGATAGCTCTGTAACATTGTACAGTTACACAAAGAGCTTCTTCATTCTCTTACACAAAAAGTATCCATTGTATCAATTTATCATATTTTGTTTAAGGTTCCCCTCACTTTTGCTATAAAAATAGGTGTATAGGGGCGCCTGGGTGGCGCAGTCGGTTAAGCGTCCGACTTCAGCCAGGTCACGATCTCGCGGTC